CAATATATTTATAAAAAGAAATGACATATAAAATGAAATGGACAGAGTATTAGTTTTTGAAAATGGAAAAGGACAAAACACATATAAAATTAAAAGACATATAAAAAAAAATTGGTTTAACTCTCAAACATAAAAAGTAACATATGTTATTAAACTTTAATAAAAAGTACTATAATTTACAATAAATAATAACTTAAAATATCTACAAGACAACAAAAAAAAGACTAATTTTTGTACTGCTTGTGTCACATAAATTAGGATTGGGATGATTTTAAAATTTTAATTTTGGTTATACATTATAAAATAGTCGAAAAATTGAATGATATAATTTTTTTAAAAATAACCGAATGAATCGTCCTATCGATAACCCTAATGTTACTTCTATTCTGTTTATTTTTACTTAAATTTAGAAAGATATGTTTCATTTCTACCCTCAATCTTATCGGTACATTTATTTGCTATTTGAAATTGAAATTAAAAAGACAAATGACAAATAAGTTTTTATATTAGCTCACTTATGCGCAAAATATATTATAACAATCTTTACTAATTTTATAACAATACATAAACTATACTCTCTCCGTCCCATATTAGATGGGCACTTCCAACTTTACACGGTGATTAAGAAATCATTAATACATTGGAAGACTTCACCATTTTACCCTTTGTTTATGTCAATGCACATTGAAATGAGTTACAAAAAATACACATACAATATAGGAATGGTCATATTAATTGTAGGGTAAAATGGAAAAGAATTAATTAATTCTATCCTAATTTAATAAGTGCTCAAATAATATGAATTTTTTTTTTTAGTAAGATTCTCATCTAATATGGGACGGAGAGAGTAACAATATAACTTTAGTAATGTTGGGCCCGGGCAGCGCCCGGGCTTTCTTTACTAGTATAGAGAGAGAGGGGGGAAGTAAGTATATTTATGCGGACCTCCCATTTCCCAATGTACATTATTCTTTTGTCAATGTACATTATGATTAAAGAAATAATCATAATGTTGTCTTCATAAAGGTAGTGATGTTTCTAATTTATATGCCAAGATCAATTAGTAACCCACTACCATAAAATACCAGTACACCCAAAAAAAATTAATTAGTTCATTAAGTGCATGAATCAATAGTTTGCTCTTTCATTGATCAATATGAATCATTGACAAATTTCTTAATCAATTACTAATTAAATTATTCTATTCCATTTTTTTTATAAAAAAAAACAAGTGGGGGTAAACAAACACAAATAATCTAGCTTGTACTCCACTTTGCAATATTAAAGATATAAATTAATAGTAAAAAAAAGATGAGCATATACTTTAGGTTCACCAATAAATGAAAAGGCATAGTATTGTATTGGTTTCAAGTTTTAAATTATCAAAACTCGAGTTGGAACCATCAAAGGATGTGATGCAGTAGATGTGGTTATCAGCGGCGGAGCCACCCTTGGGCAAGGGGTGTCAAACGACACCCCTTCGCCGGAAAATTACATATAGAGGTTAAATTTTAATTTAATAAATATATATACAAGTATTGTCACCTCTTAAAACAAGTTGAAGGTTTACTCTATTGATTAAGGGATTGATAAAAATTTATGAGGTCGCATGTTCAAGCCTTACTAGCCTTGTTATAATTGTTTTTATTTTATTACAATCATTGACACCTCTCTTTTATCATAGGCTTTGAAGACACTGGATGAAAAAAAAAAAAAACTCTGGAGAAGTATTAATTGAAAAAGGGAGAAAAAAACTTTAGGCGCATTGTCGTGATTGTGAGATATTAAAAGGTTTGTGTTTTCACCTTTTCTTGAGGAGTAATGATGACCTCTTTAATACTTTATGCTTTATGTAAAGGGTGAGGGTGTATATAGTAGTTTGGAAAAATACATAAAATATCCTTCAAAATAGTTCGATTTTGTCCATTATAAATGAAGATATTGTTGGAATATAAAAATAAGCAACATAATTAAATAGTTAGGATAATTTGAATGTAATATGGATAACACATAATTATAGATTTTAATCAAACATAAAATTGATTGATGTTTATTATCTCTTGAAGCGTGAAGCTATCACAGATAGCAACTTCAACCACGAGCATATCCGTTCACACAATTTTCTTCCAGTTCCACGGTCTTGTTCTACATAATCTAAATTATACTGGAATATGTGAAGTGCGTGTGGACAAATTTCTAACAAAAAAAGTGGGTAAAAACTTCCCCTCCTTGACAAATATGAAAATATTTCATCACCGAGCATGTTTGGTTGAGTGGTAGAAATTAGAATTGTCCAGTGTAAAAGTATATATCCTGGATGAAACAAATAATTCACATTTAGTTTAGGAGTGTTTTCAATACTTTTCTCGGAAGCAATTCGTTGATAAGTAACTACTTTGAGGAAAAAATTGATAGTCGATAAAGAAAAATATTTCAATTATGGACATAAGATCAATAATTTTTGTGAACAAGTAACTAGATTTCTTATTGTTACTCTCTTCATTTCAATTTATTTATCATATTTAAATTCGGCATGAGTTTAATAAAGTAAAGAAAAATTTGAACCTTGTAATATTAAATTAAAATTATGTTAAATACATAAAAATGTAAATCAAAATGTTCATTAATCTTGTGGTCTTAAATATGTTATGTGGCAAACTGAATTACTAAAAAAGGAAAAAAACATTTTTTTTAAGTGAAATTTTATAAAAATAATAGAACAAATAAATTGAGATGAAGAATATGATATTTGTTCGAGGCAAATAATTCAATTTGATCCACAATTATATAGTGAATAAAAATAAATTTTCCACTGTTAACATCAAGTTTGTTCTTATAGATATTTTTTTCCCTTTCTAATTAAATTAGTATACGAAGATATCAGTTGACAAACCTAATCATAAATATACAAATTTATTGAATAATTTCAAGATTCAATTTGTTGTTAAATGATATTGTAAAGCATACATAGAAAAACATTAGCATATTTAGAACCTAAACAGATTATAATAGTTAATATCTATGAAAAACAAACTAATATATAAGTGTAGTTCATTGTCTAAATTTATTAACAATAATTTTAAGTATTATATTATTATTAATCATAAATATCAGCATAATGACTATAATTCTCTTGTAGGCTCGTTTGGAGGTGATTTCAATTAAGTGACTTAAAGTTGAAATTTTATTAGAATATATAATTTGAATTTTTAAGTAGTATTTTTTCCCCATAGATATGAAAGCCTACATAATTTGTGAAAAGTGTCAAAATTTCTCCAATTCTAATACAATCTTACCAGATGAGCAAACAATAATTCATAACAAGTATATCGACTATTCTAAGACGCCACGTTAATAAATCACAAATCTCTATGTTCTTTTTTTATAAATAAATGTTTCTAATTACATAATATTACAAATTTTAGAACACAGAATCTTACAAAGATCTACCAATCAACAATAATAGTTACAATTTACAAAATAATGCTTTTTTTTGTTTTTACAAATTTTAAAATGATGATTTTTTTGTTTTTATAAAATTAAATTTATGGGTCAAATTAAATATTTTTTAAAAAATGATTAAAACTAAAATTTGAAATTTGAAATCCTGTTCTTTAAGAAAACTTGAGAATTGAAGCTAAAGTTTTACAAACAAAAACTTATTACAAATCAAAATATCAAATTGAGACTCCAAATCCTATGTGTAAATACCAACTTAAAATAGGTTCACAATTTGGCTTCTTCATTATTTGACATATAGTTTTCTTTTACTGTTCCTAATTATTTTATCTCGTAGTGCACTTAGGAGTGGGAAATATCGTCATGACTCAATTTATTGAATAGTACTAGCAACTACTCGATTCTAATTCAATAGGCAAATTTTTGCAACTTATTCCCCTTTTGTAATTTTTTTTTTAAAAAAAGAAATACATCTAAAATACACATATTATATCAACTAGAAAGAAACACTAACTTTAATTTACAAAAACCTCTCGACACTTTTCAAAGATCTAGTCTAGACATGTACAAGAGCTTCTACGTAGAATACACACAAAATAAAAAAAAAACAGAAGTTCCACTTGAGGAAAGTGTAGATAGAAGCTGATGAATAAATATTTGTCATTCCCACACTTCGAACAACCTGAAACATACTTGCACCCAACAAAAAGGCACATCAAGAATAGTATCAATGCACCACACATACTAATAGGTATCTTAGTGTAACATTTCATTTCGCAAAATTTTTCTTTTTTCTAAAAAATGACTATTTTGTCCTCTTTCGTACTTATGTTATGCTTTATTTTGGTGTGAGGTTGATTGGCATGGTCCTCAAAGAAGCGCTCATGAGTGATTTAGTGGTTTTGAGACATTTGGGGTGATTCATATTGAGAGAGTTGACTTTGGTCAACATTTGAGAACCGAGCGACAGATGGTGATTCTGTCAGTTTCGTTGATTTTGGAACGTCGAGTTTAGGCTAGTAGGGTGGTTAGTTTAGGTCTCAAGATTATATTGTGTTAAATGATCATTAGGATGTAACTCCTAAACTGAGAGGAATAATTTTGACTAAACGATCTTTTTTTCAGAAATCTGATGATTTCATTGGTTCTTACACTATTAGATCATGTATAATGGTTTATGAATGAGTTGCTAGGGTCAAACCAAGATGTTTCAATACTTTGAGAGCTTTGGCGAGATTTCTTGAGGAAATTCGTGTGGGGGTTCCTAACTCGAGGCACCCCCCGTCCCGAGGCGCCACATCCCGAAGTCCCTCCACCCCACCCTCCGCCTCGAGGCGCCGCGCCCCGAGGCCCGCCAACCCCGCCTGGAGGCACCGCGCCCCGAGCCCCCCACCCCCGCCTCGAGGCTCCGCTCCCCGAGCCCCCCCGAGGCACAGAGCCCACCCACCCCCGCCTCGAGGCATCAAGCCTACCCACCCCCCGCCTCGAGGTACCGAGCCCCCACCCCCGCCTGGAGGCATAGAGCCCACCCACCCCCACCTCTAGACACCGAGCCCCCCACCCTGTTTCGAGGCACCGAGCCCACCCATCCCCACCTTGAGGCACCGAGCCCACCAATCCCCACCTCGAGGCACCGAGCCCACCAATCCCCACCTCGAGGCACCGAGCCCTCCACCATAGCCTCGAGGCACCGCACCCAGAGGCCCCCCTACTCGCACCTCCCGCCTTGAGTCATTGTACCCCGAGGCCCCCCACCCCCTTCCTCGAGGCACCGCACCCCGAGGTCCCCTCCCGTCCTCACATCTTTCTCGAGGAACCTTGCCCCAAGGACCTCCACCCCTGCCTCGAGGCACCGCTCCCTGAGGCCCTCCCACTCCCCACCTCGAGGCCCACCAACCCCCGCCTCGAGACCCCTCTCGATGCACTGCGCCCCCCTCGATGCATTGTGCCCCAAGGCCCTTCACCCCCACCCCCGCCCCCACGCCTCGAGGCACCGCACCTCGAGGCCCCCCTCCATTCCCACCTCCGCCTTGAGGCACCGCGCCCTGATCCCCCCCACCCTCGAGGTACCACTCCATGAGGCCCCTCCTCCCCGCCTCGAGGCACCGCCCTCTGAGGCCCCCTACCCCCGCCTCGGAGCACCGCTTCCTCAGGCCTCTCATGCCCAGCCTCGAGGCACCGCTCCCTGAGGCCCCCTCACCTCCCACCTCAAGGCACCGCACCCCGAGGCCCTCCTACCCCCGACTCCCCGCCTCGAGGCACCACACCTTGAGGCGCACCCACCCCCACCGCCCACTCGAGGCATCGCTCCCCGAGGCCCCCCACTCCGCGTCGAGGCATCGTTCCCCGAGGCCCTTCACCCCCACCTCGAGGCACTGCGCCTCGAGCCCACCTCACCTCAAGGCACCCCACCTCGAGGCACTGCGCCCTAAGGTGTAACAACCCATATTACGCAAATGCTTGTTCTATTCTTATGATACTTGACATAGCTTTATAATATAAGTGAGGGACCATGTTTCTTATATGATTAGTGTTGGTTTAAACTATCTCAGAAGGTGATGTGATGCCTTGCACGTTTAAGCATGTGTACTGCAAGTTATAAGTCCAACAGAAATATTTAAACTTGAGACGGTAAGGTGGTAATTGAGCTTAAACTTGAAAGATAAGTGCTAAGTTAAAGAAAAAGAGATTAATATTTAGAAAATGGAATAAAATAAGTGAGATGCTTGCTTGACTTAAATAAGCTAGTAGGTGACAAATATGTGTATCACCTACTTTGACTTATTGACTAGTCCAAAGGACTAAGTAGGTGCATCACCTACTTGAGCTATATGGATCTAGTTAAAAAGGCCAAGGTTTTTGGTTCACGCCTTGAGCCTACACCCTGGGCGGGACTGGCACTCGAGAACTATTGCTGGCCTCAAGCGAACCCTTGGTCTGGCTTACTTACTCAGTGGAAGACTTTAAGCATTAAGAAAAGAACTCAAATGCAAGATAACTCAATTGTCTCAAACTAAACTCATAATGTTTTAGAAATAAACATTTAACTTAGCCAAAGTGGCAACTCAAATATGAACATAAACCAATAATAAGGTAAAGACAAATGAACTAACTGACTGTCTATCTATGAAGCCTCTAAAATTGAGATGGACGTCGGGACAAGACCCACGACATCCTAATGAACTAAAATATTGAAAGCAATAAAAGGGATCCTCCAAAAAGCAAAGAGGCTCACCACCAGACTCTGAGTGCTCAACTGGATCAGCGATGCACTGGATGCTAATCCTGGTTACATGTGTCTGCATCATAAAACGATGCATGCCAAATGGCATCAGTACATTGAATGTACAAGTATGTGAGGGTAATACTAAACATAACATAAGCTTGAAAGAAATCTGAAAGAAACGCTTACCTTGGCTTTACTCAACTCATTAACAACTTAACTCAATATAAAGCAATAAAACACATGCAATATATAGAAAGCCTTTAAAACAGTAGAAAACAACTTAGTTTGTTAAAGAAAATGCAATAACAAACTCAACTTTACTCATATAATAAAGTAATATAGTTTTATGTGGGAGTTTCTCTAATGGACAACCACCACTATGAGCCTAAGTGGTGATATAACGTCTTGGCCACGTTGCCAGAACTGTCCTATACTTTGTCGTCATATAGAACGTCTTAACTAAGTGGATCCACTAGTCTATGCTAAAAAGCACTGAGGAGTCATCTAAAAAGTATGATCCTCTCTACCCATGATGGCTACATGGTTTATGGGGGCTGTGAGTTATTTAAACTCTGCCCAATATCGGTGCTCAATACTACTCCAAAAATATACCAGCTCATATGTTTAAAAATATAACTTCTTTCTTTGGTTTGAGATAATTACTCAAAACTTAGCTTAAAAGCCCTTTTGGAATCGATGTTCCCTTTCTTGCTCAAATGTGAAAACATTTACTCTTTAACTGAAACTAGCTCAAAGGGTCTTTTGGAAATCAATGTTTCCTTTCTTTTTTAAATGTGAAAACATTTACTCTTTAACTGAAAAACTAGCTCAAATGATCTTTTGGAAATGAAGGTTTCCTTTCTTCTTTAAATGTGAAAACATTTTACTCTTTGGGAATACATAGTACCGATATGCTCTTTTGAAGAAATGAACTTCAAACTTTACACTTTACTCTTTACTCAACTCAAAACTCAAGTCTTAAAACAAAGTTAAAATATTTGTAAAAGACTTTAGGAAGACTGTATGAACTTCTCTTGACTTGGCTCTTAACTTCTTTTGACTTGAATCTTAACTTTCCTTGAACTGAATTATGGATTCAAGGATTGTGATTTGTGATAGGAAAGATCTCATGATGTTTAGGAGTGTTTTTAGATAGTTAAACATGAGAAAAGATCAAGAAATCACTGTCTAGAAACTAGTCCGCGACGTGGAGATGTATTAAAATTTTTCGTCGAGAAAATAATTTTTTTGAGGCAGAACGGTCCGTGTACGCTCCACGACGCGAGGGAGGATTTTCCCAATCTAAGGAACAAGTCCGCGACACAGACTTGGTACCCAGATTCTGCCGACTTTTTCCTTCTTTATTTTCTGACCCCAATTCGCCTAAACTCAGTTCTTTTTCTCAAATTCCCTTTAGATTCAGATACCCAGTGTATGTACACACGAATCTAACTAAAAAAAACTCTAAAAATCGACCTTAAACTCTCAATAACTCCTCAATCTCATCCCAAATTCAAGAACGAAAGCAATTCAAGAATATAACTCAAGAACATTAAAGTCTCAATCTTTTAGGAAGAAAATCATACTGAAATAAACATGTTTGGCGCGTGGGTGAACGAACCCAACGCTGTGTGAACTCACATACCTCGTAGGGATCACCCCTTGACGAAATCCACAAGCGATTCTTGAAGATCTTGACGATTCTTGCTCCTTTTCCTCTATTCTCCTCTTTTTTTTTCTCTTCTCTAAAACCCTAACTCAATATTATAAAAGTGTAAATTGAATCCTATCAGTTTAGACCCTAATTAATTACCAAAAACAAAATTAAGTCATGGGTTATGGAAAAGACCATAATGCCCTTCTAAAACCCGGATTAGACTTTCCTTAATTGAACAGCCCAACTTTCAATGGGTATATCTCACTCATACGAACTCGAAATCGCGCAAACTTGGCGGCGTTGGAAAGATAATTCCAAAATATTTCCTACGGTATCTGGAAGCACACCTAACTCATCCTGAGATAGGAGTTATGGTCATTTGAAGCTGGCCAAAAAAACTCAACCTGACATACTTAACAAATTTTCCAGATTTTTTTATTCTTTCCAAAAATGACTATTTCCAATTCTAACTATTTCTAATTCTTTCAATTAGCGAGATGTTACAATATCCCCCCTTGGAACATTCATCCTCGAATGAGATTACTCTTAGTAGGATAAGGGTTCAACATCTAACATTTAACTCAAACACCCAACAAGCAATGGAATACAACATGCCAACTTATAAATTAAAGAGTACTAAGAAGAGAATTAGTACCTTGATCTGGAATTTCTTCGATTTCAAAGAGATGTGGATACCTCTTCTTCATATATTCTTCAACTTCCCAAGTAACTTTCTCAACAAACTGGTTCCTCCAAAAAACTTTGACTGATGCTACTTCCTTAGTCCTCAACTTGCGAACCTGACGATCTAGAATCTGAATCAGAATCTCCTCATAAGATAAGCTATTCTTGATACCAATATCTTCATTTTGTATGATAAGTGAATGATCTCCCATGCACTTCTTCAACATGGAAATGTGAAATACTGGATGAACCACTGTTAACTCTTATGGTAGCTCTAACTCATAAGCTACCTTTCCAACCCTTTTTGATATCCGGTAAGGACTAATATACCGGGGGCTAAGTTTCCCCTTCTTACCAAATCTCATAACACCCTTCATGGGTGAAACTTTCAAGTAAACCCAATCGTCTACTTCGAACTCTAACTCCCTTCTCCTAACATCAGTATAGGATTTGTGACGACTTTGCGCTGTTTTCAACCTTTCTTGAATCACTTTCACTTTCTCCCTAGCTTGATGAACTAAGTCTGGTCCTATCAACCCAGATTCACCAACTTTAAACCATCAAATAGGAGATCTGTATTTTCTCCCATAAAGAGCTTCATAATGAGCCATCTGGATACTAGAGTGATAACTATTGTTGTAAGCAAACTCAATGAGAGGTAGGTGATCATCCCAATTACCCTTGAAATCAATCACACAATCTACCTTGATACCTCAAAACACCATCTCCCCCTTGTTCAAAAGCCATCATTTTTTTCTTATGAACACTTGCCTTTAATTCAAGCAATAAAGGATCTTGGTCTTACTTCTCTTTTTCTTCTGACACTAATGATGATTCATCCCCATTCATCACCAATAATCCTCCTTCTGTGTAATCCATTGGTCGAATTCCTAGTCGTGCAAGTCTATGCACCTCTTTTGCTAACTCTTTCTTATCTTCCTCAAAATGGGCGATACTACCCACAGACAATCTGCTCAAGGCATCATCAACAATATTAGCCTTACCTGGGTGATAAAGAATATTCATGTCATAATCCTTGAGTAATTCTAACCACCTCCTTTGCCTGAGATTAAGCTATTTCTGACTAAACACATACTGAAGACTCTTCTGATCGGTGAACACATCCACATGAACACCATAAAGATAATGACTCATTATTTTCAAAGCAAATACTACAACATCTAACTCTAGATCATGGGTTGGGTAGTTCCTCTTATGAACTTTCAACTGTCTAGAGGCATAAGCTATAGCTTTGCCATTCTGCATTAACACACAACCCAAACCAACTATGGACGCATCACAATATACAACAAAGCCTTGCGTACCTTCTAGTAAAGTCAATACTTGGGCAATAGTCAACCTTTTTTTCAATTCCTAAAAGTTTTTCTCACAAGTTTCAGACCATTAAAACTTCACTATTTTCTAAGTCAACTTGGTCAAAGGGGATGAAATAGATGAGAACCCCTCCACAAACCTTCTATAATAGTCGGCCAAACCCAAGAAACTGCTAA